TTTAATGAAGTAGGTGGTCAAATTATTTTATTCAAAAAGCTTCCTTATGAAATATAATTTGTTGTGTACTTACAACAAATTTATTATTTTTAACCGGGTAGGTAGGTATTACGATGACTCTTACTCGAGCAGTAAATCGTATTTAATAATAAGTGATTTTATTACATCTACATGCCGTGGAAGTTCAGCATTGTTTCTGGCCTGTCATCCACAAGAAGTAAAGACAAAATTACGATGCATTCAAAATCCGTACAATTAATGATCCTCAGAATTCTCCTTCAAACAATTTAAAGGAAGTTTGAATACATTATAATGTGTGAATGACGCACTTTCCAGTAAACAGACAATGATCCAGGGTTTTCGTTTTTACTATAAAACTCCCTCATTATAAATTTATAAAAACTCGGTGAAATTAATTTCAAATTAAAATTTAAATCGTTGAAAAATAAGATTGGTAGATACAGGTAGACCTATTGATTGCAAAATAATACACACACACTTGTAAAACTTTTAGGCAATTACCAAAATCGAATAATTGAAAAGTAAAAAATAAAAACCAAAGAAGTCACTTTGTTGTATAGACGTACCTGTAATAGATAGGGAGGTGGCAAGTCCCTATTATAATAGACAATAGTAGGTTTCGAGTGTACTTCGTCATTGAATGAGTCAATAGGTAACTTTAATCGATGTGTTAAATTCGAATTCAATAATACATACACATAATACATTTATTACTTACATAGGTAACTATTATACATTTATTTTTCCATCAATATTAACTAATAGGTATTATGGTAGGTTACACTATTTATTTAACTAAAAAACATCGATATATTGTAATGATTGTTAATTTTTGATAAATTATTTTTATACACACAACCTGTTGATTGTATTGTCTTATAAAATGTAGGTATTATCTATTCAATGAATTTTAATAGTTAAATATTTACCTATATATCCATCAAAATATCAAATAAACAATAAATTTAAAATAAATAGATGGTATTTTTCTAGTTTACTGACCACTCTTTTTTCAAAACTTGTGTAGTTAGTCCACCCAGAATCTAAAAAGGCATTTTTAGATTCTAAAAACTACAGTCTATACATGGCTGTATAGCCAGTAGCATTTCCACAACTATATTCAAAATTAAATTATTGTTGTAAAAGTAATAATTAAACATTGACACATTACCATTTTATTTTTATTTCATTGAATTTTTGAAGGATATTTGCATTCATTTGACATTTAAATGAATACAAATGTGAATATAATAATATAGGTAATATATATTATTATTAGGGCCGAGGACTTCTAGCACTTATAAACCTGAAAATAATCATGCGCTTATGCACTAAAAAAATAACTAATATACATTTAAAAATTATTAGATAGGTATGAATAATAATTGTATACGTCCTCATTTTTTCTAATAAGCTCAAATATGCATTTATGTTCAATAAAAACATAATATACAAAAAAAGATTTTCAATGTAACCTACTTGTGTGAAATATGAAACATTCATAATATTTACACGCCAATAACATTTTTCTGTGGCCTTTCTAGACAAATATGAAAAAACTAGAAGTTCTTAGCCCCAACTATAATTTATAAAAGAAAATATTATATTATCGCCGTATAGTTCTATGGTGTCACTGAGTTATGAATAATAATTTCTATTGTTTCTATTGTCATCAATATTTTTTTATAAGTATCTGTGGATTATGTAAATATGAACACAATTGACCGGTAAATCATAAAATAGAATGTAAAAATCATAATGCTAATCCCTTTTTTTTTAGATTCAGATTAGCTGCTTGGGACCCCCCCCCCCTACTATGGTGTATAATATTATATTCAATTATAAGGTTAGGTATAAAGTATACAATGTGTCCCATGAAGAAGGAAGGGCGCTACTAACGTCATATTTCATACCTTAAGTTATGAAAAAAAAACTCTTGTTTAAAAGTTGAGTTCAACTCTTTCATTTTTTTAAGTTATGGTCAATTTAACTTTTTTTAACATACTGAACGTATTGCACATTTGCTGATGTATCTTCAAAGTTTTTCAACTTTTTATCGTAATTTATTTTTTATTGTAAAGCTATTTTATTGTGCTACCAACTAAACTACATAATCAAAAGAGAAATGTACAAATTATTTTTATTTAATCAATACAATTTAAATTCTGTAGAATAATAAAATATAAATAAATGTGTTATTCACAATTGCTTTTTAAAAATACTTATTTTTGTTAACTTTGTTGTTATTTTCTTCAATTTACTAGAAATAGAGTTAGATGGGAGATTAGTAAGTTAGATGATAAAAAAACAGCACAGAGTTCAAACCCTATACTCTATAATCTGTATGCCAACACTGTTTTATACTATACTTTGTTCAGAATAAGAACGCACAGTGCTTGAGCATACTTTAGGTCATTCGGTGTCGGCAGGGCGAGAGGTGTCAACGGCAATGGTGTGGAGTGGAGCGGTTGCGCTAATTGAAACTATATTTCTTCCACTGCACAGGGAGTTCTTATTCTGAACAGAGTATAGGCCACCATGATCTTATATACATTCTTATCAACATAGGTGTGCAATGTTTATGTACATTGGAGGCCTGAAGAGATAACATGGTCACACCAAAATACAACCCTCCTATTGTATATTTGTAGTATTTTAAGAATGATTATCATACAAGATTAATGTTGAGAATATTTTATTAAACATACGACTTAAATTTCAAAATAATTCGTACATAGTTTGATAGAATATGTTAACAATGCTTATTTGTATTACTTCACAGCTTTCATTTGCCAAAGACCATCATTCAAATAGTGACAGTTTTCAATACCAACTCCTTTATTCACTTTTAATCTGAAATAAATATCAAAATATAATTTTTAGAAAATTGTCAAAATAAAAATATGTTAACTATAAAATTACATATCATCCGTAGAAAGACTAGTAATTCCAATGGCCAGAGCATGCTGTTTACCTTCTGCCATTACAGCCTGAATAAATGATAGTTAAAGAAAATACTAGTAAAATTACAACAAAAATTATTTAAATAACAGAAAACATAAATAACAATAATGTAAGGCAAAATTTGGGTGTGTAAGCGATCCATAGCCAAATCTGGTTCTGAAATTTGGCACATTGATAATCTTATACCCGAGGATGTGCACCTCAAAGCCAAATTTTTCAATTTTGTATTTAAGAGTAGCGATAAACAGGGATTTATAGGCTCACAATGAAACAAATATTTTTCTGTTTATATAGGGTTGTCATAAATTACAGAAAATAAAATAATTATTAAAATTGGAAATCATTTTATACTTTTATTTTATGTAGTAAAAATAACCTAAATGAATGTGTTAAAAATATGTGTACTTTACAATTTACAGCTTAAGATAGAGTAAATTCAATGGCTAATTTGTCACAGGCAACACAGTGCCGGATCACCTAGTAAATAATAATTGTGAATTTTAAATCAGGCAAAACATCAATATAAGATTTAATTTTAAATATATACAATTTAAAGGATACTACTATTGTATTTTGTGGAACAGGCTCAATTTTTGCTCCGGGGGAAGTCAAACCAGGACACATAATGTTGGCACCACTCATAACAAATTTAATGGCACCTAAGTCTACTTGTTCTTTAGGAAGAAAGAATGGATCTAGAAAAAAACACAATAAGTATTCAATTTAAATATAATCGTAAAATAAAAAATAATATTTCTTAGTACCTATGCATAATATCTAATACTTAAAAACTTAATTAAATGATGGATCAAATATAAATAATTTTTTTTTTGGATTTATTTTACAAGGATTATAAAATACATTAGGAGCTTTAAAGTAGCTTTTAAGTAGTATACTTACATTTATGAAGAAGCTTCAGAGTAGGCAGCCAAGGACCATTTCTATGCCGAAAAAATAAACAGTCACCAGCTGAATTAACAATTATTTCAATATGATCTTGGCTAGACAATAATTGTTTAATATTAATTAAAAATATATATTATCAAGTATATTTTAAGACTTACCACTTAACAATTCTTAATGCATCTTTCTTAGGTAGTATCATATCTATGTATTCCTCGAGTGTTGGATATTGATCAAGAATTTTTGTCCTTATACCTTTTTGGACAGATGATTTTAACTGTTGAATACCTATCACACTATCTTTATCGTCAAATCTGGAAAAATTAAAATAGTTTACTACTATCAGCAGATAGGTACCTATAATATTATTAAAATGATATTCAAACAAAAAATTGTATTGTTAATGTAAACACAAAGTTAATATATTAAAATCCTGTAAACCAGCAATAAAAAGGAAAAAACAATAAAAATGCATACAACATTTATAGTGTTGTGCACATGTCTTGCAAAAAATAAAATCGAATTTTTATGAATATTTATTAAATTTTTTCGTGCATATTTTTCATTTTTTAAGCTTTTCATCTTTTATAACTTTCGAGCCCTAATTATAACATATAAGTTTAAAAAACCTTTGTATATCATTATATTATACAATATACAATAAGCTATATTTTAAAATAAGAGTCGTGATTTATCTATAAATTAAAAACTAACTATTTATGTTTTCATTAAACATTAACTTCATAAAATAAATTAAAAATGGTTATACTCACTTCTTGAACATTTTATATGGCTAGTGATCTTTTTACGGCTTTTTACAAAAAATATGTGTGTAGACTATAAATAATATTCAACAATCTAAAAAATTCTGAATTTCATGAAAATATAAGTATGAAAATGTAACTATTTTATTAAAAATCGAATAATATCGTGTTGACTGTTGACCATATTTATCACTCGGTAGTCTGTAGTGATAAAACCACAGAATTGATGCTACCACGATTGGTCATTGGATCTGCGCCGGGACATGACCGGGACAATTTTCCAAGTTGTAAGTACTTATCACGCATGCGCCAAGACAAAATAGTTTCTTATCAATGATTAATATTATCAATTTTAATATTATTTATTATCCGTAATAATTACCTACGTGCGTGATTATGCCCTGGTGAATTTGAATTTGAATTTTAAACTCTGTCCATCGGTCATTGACGATTGTAGATTTGTAGAATATGAACTCGATCAAGAAGTGAGTACGATATTCCATTTATTTTTTATAAGCCCTATAAATGGTTCGTTTCATAGGTACTCATGTCTGAATGTCTCATTCTACAGATATATGTGAATGTACATCCAAATTTATATTATGTTTATCTTTTTTTTTTAGAAATATACAAGACACATACACCAAGGAATATCTTGTAAGTTTATTTTCATTCTGTAAAATCGAATATTTTTATACATGTATTGAATACAATTATGACATTACTATTTAGGCACGTAATAAAAGAAATGATGGCAGAGAATTACTAAACTTTCGAGATGCAACACTAAATTTAAACACAATACACACAGCAGATGGATCGGCGGCAGTCAAAATTGGGAATACAGCTGTTATTTGTGGCATTAAAGCAGTAAGATAGGTTATTTTAGTATAATTTAATTTTAGCTTTTTATTAAGTATCTTCACTTTTTCAGGAACTAGGTGTTCCTAAATCTGAAACTCCAGATATTGGATATCTTTTAGTAAATTTTGAACTACCTAGCCTGTGCTCTAAAAAAATTCGACCTGGAATCCCATGTGATGAAGCAATGCAAATTACTAGCTTCCTTAATGAAGTGTGTAATAATTGCAAAATACTAGATTTACAACAATTGTGTATTTCTGTTGATAAATTAGTGTGGGTTTTGTCATGTGATGTATATTGTTTAAACTATGACGGATCAGTGTTTGATGCATGTTTAATAGCCTTGTTATCAGCACTACAAACAGGTACATTTAAAGGTATTTTAATGTCAATATTTTTAAATTAATTAAATAATTGTTTTGTAGTTAAAATACCAGAAGTAAAATATGACAAAGAAACTGAAGAAACAATTGTCGTTGAAAATTACATTCCGTTAAAAGTCAACAGTTTACCAGTATCGTCAACTTTTGGGGTATTCAATGAAAAATACATTTTAGCTGATCCAACTGAAGAAGAAGAGCAATTATGTGTTAGTAAATTGACAGTTGTGACCAATGGTTCCTTAGTATTTTCTATACACAAACCTGGTGAGTCACATATTTATAAGCTATTTCAAATATTAAATGTATTCATTTAAATCTTTGAGTCTTCAAATATTATTATTTATTTGAAATCATATCTGGCATAATTTGTATTCATATTGAGAGTACACATAGCTCACGGGCAACAGAATTTTTCAGTTTTAATACTCTTCACAGCCAAATACGCAACCATTGTGTATTTATGAATGAAACAATTTCAAGATTAAATCTCTCGTGATGACTGAAATACTTAATAGTATATTTTATTGACTCTACCTCCTTAGATTAAGTACACAGTTTTATTTATTTAATTTATGATAGTGCTTACTAGAGCAAATAGAGTCCAGTACAGTTATACATTTCTAGCTGATTAATAATCACTTAAAAAACAAACATTCAATGAATCAATAATGAGCTAATGGTTCATTTTATTCATCAATGTTTATAATTTGTTTTTGGCATCAGTTTATTTAAAAATTGAATAAATAATTATTGAATTTTATCTAAATATCATTTTAATCATAAGGCAGTATTTTAAGTACAAAACAAAAACATTGCATAATTATCAGGTAATTTGATTACTGTTTGGTTGAATCTTATTTTAGAGCTGTGAATAATTCTAAATATTGATTGAATCTTATCTCAGTAATATAAAATATTTAGCTTGATATTGAATTGAAAAATACTAAATTGAAATTAATATGCATATAATATGGATGGTTTATACCACTAGTTTATAAATAATATAAAAAATGTTGATTAAAATTTAAAAGCAAAAAATATAATTGTACTGTTTGTTTTATTTTTAGGAGGAGAATTCATAAAAGATACCCAAACTCAAAATTGTATTAGGCATGCTAAGACCAGATCAGAAACAATTAATAAATTAATAAAAGCAGCACAATAAAAAAATTTCTGTAACATTATTTTTGTTTTTGGAAAATAAATGATATTATGCAATTCATATTTGTTTGCCATTTATTATGTCGCTATTACTACATAATTTTTTTGAATTTTACTCATTTTATGAATCAAACATTTTACTAAAAGTGATTAAAACATAGTTCATGTAGTAATAATTTGGGAATAATTGTTTGTATTTACAACTGGCTGCTAAAGTTTATACCAGCTTAACTGGTGCATCCTTGAGTTATTGTTTTGATGATTAATTGACTTAATGTTATGGATGTTTCTTGGCCAGTTGTTCAGGTTCAACAGTCAAAAGTGATGATCTAAATGTGGTAGATTGTATCCAATGCTGTGTGTATGTTATGCTCGATTTCTTTGGCTGTGGTCTTAAAGGCAATGGATATCTCTAATAAGTAATATCTATGACAATGTCGCTTCTATATTCTTTTGTGGCGGACACGCAATCCACATATTAATAAGGGACCTTATATAATTTTCCAGAAAAAAACTTCTAGGATGTCAAATGTTCAATTACTGAAAATAATTTTCTAATATTTTTATTTTTTATACATCTGTTATTTAACTAAATACTTATAGGGCAGAGGATTTTAATGCTTTTCTAATACAAATCTGTTTAAAACATCAAAGAATTTAAATCATAAAGTATTATTTGTCATTTTCGAAATTTTACAATTATATTATTATTTGTTAATTTATAATATTTATTTAGTATTTACACATTGTATAGATTTTTAAATTTCAAAAAATGTTGTTCCGAGTGTACCGACCATTTATCATATAGATGGATGATATTTGATGTAGATGGCGCTGCTTCTATCGAATTAATTTAAATCTAAATAATAATACCGGCCAATGCCACGGTTAATAGATATCTATTAACCGTGGGCCAATGCTGCATTAGGTTACCTCTGCAGTCCTCACGTAACCAATGACAATTAAATAATTTAATTTGTTATGTACTATGATACTAATTATTATTTAGGTATATAATAATATAATATTTATAGTCCTGACTCCTAAGCAACTCTATCCAAATTATAGCCTCGAGTTATAAAATGGTTTAACAAATTTACAAGTTACAGTTTACTATATAGAGCACGGATATACACAAATATTTTTGAAAAAAATTGAATTTAAGTATAAAATGTTGATGTACGTTTCCGCGGGTATTTATAAAACTATTATTAAAATTAAATAATATCATCATTTGAGTGGTTAGGTCACAGAATAATAATGTGGTTAGGTGGTAACCACTAACCGCCGGGAGGTGGTGGGTGGTGATCGTGTTATCAGCATTCAATGCTGTCAAAACTTATCAGTTGGTTAAAAAATAAAACATTTTAGTTAATAAACTCAAAAATTATTCAGGGTTCTGTTTCTTGTTTAAAAGTACTCGGTATTTTTCCGATGGTTATTTAATTCGCGATCTACTTGCAATACCCTTTAAGGATTTGCTCATCATTTTTCCTTCAACCCATATTTGACAAAAATATACACGTATATTCACGATATTGAATACAATTTGTCTACAAAAGGTGAGTGAAGTGTAATTCTATTACTTTTGTAATTCAGTTATTGTTTAAACATCTCATAAAGTGCCATAAACTTACCTAATTTTAGGGTCATGTAAGGCGTTCGTTTTTGACCCAAACACGAGTTAAACATTGTATTAACTATATATTTAATAATAATAATAATATTTATTGCGACCGCCAAAAAAGTAATAATGTGTTAAAAAGTTTTAAGTACATACAAGATACAAAAGTTGAAAATTCATCCTATAAGCATTACTGCATTAGCTTGTATGTGGATGAGTTGAGTTCATTTTTTTTTCATTTGAAGTTTCCCTGATATTATGTCATCTGAACTTAGTTGAATTCATAAAATAATATAAAATAAAGTATAACCTTTCAAAATTAAATTAAATAATAATTTTAAAAAAGATAAAATTTACATAATAATACAATAAGAAATAAAGATCTACGCTATATTACTTTATTTGGTGTTCTTATCGAAACTTTTGAGTGGGGAAGTTGATGCTCCAGATATGTTAGGGAGGGTTAATTTTAATGTTCCCGGCGCTAATCTGCGCAACTTTTCTCCTTTCCGGGTCCCGTTCTGTGTGACTAATTATTTATATAATGAACCCATTTTGCGTATGATGGCACTAGCTAATGATGGATCCTATAACATCTAATCATCTTATTGTGTGTAATTATTTTGTACTACATTATTATTTGCTAATATTATGTATGTTATAGTGTATTATATTTTTGTTAATTATTAATTTTATATAAATGTCAAGGGCCTATCCCGTTTACTATTATAAATAAATAAATAAATTATTCACAACTATAAGATGAATTACCTACATACCCTTTTTTTCAAATATTTAATTTAACATTAATTAATAGGTATGTCCATACCAAGTGAATAATAAATAATATTAATTTTTAAATAAATAGCAGTGGTATAATTTGGGGAAGTTTGTGGTTGGGTGACGGGGAGATATAATTGTTGCACATTTTACTTATTTCCTACCAAATTTATTTTTGTACATATCATAAGCACTGCACCTCTGTACAATCATTATGATAAGTACCTATCTATAATATAACTTATAAGTACATGTATAAATGTATGCACTCATGGAAACAAATAATTGCATACCTAATGTTTAAATATTCACCCACACACAATTTGAATAATCATATATTATACAACTTTGCCAATGTATGTCATTACCCCTCAAAAAATAATATTTGACTGTTCATTAGTTTATTTTTGTACCACAGTACAATATATTTGTGCAATAGTGTTTGCTTATTACAGTTGACTATTATTATTAGTAACTCGATTAGTAATGTACCTACAGCTAGCATAGGTGATTTTGGTATTTTTGTATTATTTCCATAAAATATACTATTGTAGTGTTAAATTAGTGCTTAGATATAGATTGTGATGTGCCAGTCTTTGAGAAAATAAGTAAAGGGGGGATACTTTACCAAATCCCCTCCTAACTATGCCACTGATAAGTAGGTTAGTTGTAGTTAGTGGGTACCTACTATATTTTTTGAGCCCAGTGGTAGTGGTCTATAGCCCGGCTTTAGTTGCTTAGTATTAATTTGTTAATTTGAAGCTTAATCTCTAAAACCAATTTTCAATCATTTTGGACAAATTGTAAAATGCTTTTGCTATAGGTATTTCACATGACGTGAAAAACCAAAACTACTTAATAAACCTGTGATTCAGATGGCCACTTAATATTATTTTTCATATTCATATTATGTCATTTTTACCCTCACTTATTCAATTATTTACTATTGTAATAACATATTTCACTATAATAGTACTACCTATGTACCTATACGTAATACTGTACACATTTAAAATTGGTTGCATCCATATTGTTTTTATTGAATTGTTCTAGTATTATCAATGTCAATACTTACCAAATTGATGATAAATTGTAAAAATTAAAGTGTGTACTTATGTTTAGATATAATTTTTTATAAAATTTAAAAATTTGATTCAATTTATTTTTTGGAACATTTATAATATTTATTTGAACATTTATGTTATATCTTTGAATTATTATTTTAATTTTTAAGTCAATACTTTGTTGGTAAAAATCCAAGTGAAAATTTTGAACTGTAACTTAAATATAATCTGGTTAGTGTTTTTTACAATTGTGTCTACATCATCAATATCTTAAGACATGAATCGTGGTTATCTTTGCATACATGGCATTATAAATTATTATTTCAATAAAAATTATATTATAATAATAATAAATCATGTTTGAAACTAGAGCCGGGATTTCAGCCCCTTCAAATAAGTTAATCAAATTATGAATATTATCTTGATACAGTTTCTTTCATATTTGAACTTTTAAGTTATATTAGTTTAGTATTCCCACTTTATGTATACAATTTAACTATTTAAGTAGATCTATTGTCATCGTTTTTCAAACTTAATACTATTTTCTAATATTATTTATACTTTTGATATTTTCTAGATTCTGACAATGACGACTACACTAAAACCTTACCTTTCTGTTGTAAAGCATTCGTTGGATGCTGCCATATGTATAAGCCAGTTTTACTCGCAAGTAGTTGAACGTCACAGCAAACCAGAAATAGAAATGCAAACCAACAGGGAGTTAATATTGACTCCAATGTTAATCAGTCGTAATGAGCGAGAACGTGTTTTTATTGAAAGCTCTATAAATTCAATAAGGGTGAGTATAGCAATTAAACAATGTGATGAAATTGAGCGATTACTGTGTGATAAATTCACACGATTCATGATGAAACGAGCAGAAAATTTTTTCATTCTGAGAAGGAAACCAGTTGCTGGATATGACATAACATTCTTAATCACTAACATGCATGTGGAACAAATGTACAGGAATAAACTTATTGATTTCATTATTCGATTTATGGAAGAAATTGACAAAGAGATCAGTGAAATGAAGTTGGCAATTAATGCAAGAGCGAGAATTTGTTCAGAAGAATTTCTCAAACATTTTTAAAATAAAAATGTATAACTATCCAGTGTGCATTATTTTTTATTTTCTACTGTAACCAATTTTTATATTTAAAAATGTTTAAATACAAGTCTATTTAAAGTTATTATAAGATTAAAATTTAAAATATAGAAAAATTAATTTTCATACATGGTTAATAGTTAAAACACTTAAAAGAAAAAATACTTTAAAGTATTGATGGCATTTGATGCATACATTTAAATAGTCTTTTTATAATATGTTCTACTTCTTTTTTATTATTTTTATTTTATACTTAGTTCAGTTACAAAAATAATTTGAACTAACACATTGTTATGGTATGAATACTAGATACCATTATTTTACTTTTATAATTATCTTAGCCAAATATAACATACTATCTATTTAAATATTTTTTTTTACAAATACTTAGTGTATGAATGCAATAATATATAATTTATATTAGAGAGCCTAGATTAAAGCCTAGCTCTCCCGTTTATGTAATATATTATTTTATGAAAATTCTATGCATGTCACAAAATTAGTGCTTCATGACACATAGAGCTAGGGATAAATGGATTAGCTAAAAACATATCAAAAATCACAGATATATACAATAAACAATATTTTATTGTGTATATCTGTGTCATAAATAATTGTAATTTAATTTCAAACCATGTTTATTAAAGTCGAGAATTGAGAATAATAAGCTAACAAATTAATTTTTATAAAGCATTATCTGTACAATACGTTTGTATTCAAAAACAATAGTTTATTGTAATTAATTTTTATTTACAGAAATTAAATGAAACACTTATTATTTGTTTATGTATGTTTATTACTTAACCTTAAATCCTTGATTTAATTATATGAAATTTTTAAAATCAATTTTTCCCACTTAAATGTATATTATACTTGGCTTAAGGCAAAACTCATAAACCAGGAGTAAAAGTGCATTAACCTTCATAAAATATTAATAAATCAATACAAAATTCCAACAATTTTAAATGTAATTTAGTTGCAACATGTACATTTAGTATTTCAAATGTAATATGCAATTTTATAGTTAAAGTACTATAAATAATGTATTAATAATTTGGCAGAAATCAAGGTCATCAGCCTTAATAGTTGTGTCTGTACTTATCTATTAAATTAAGACACATTTGAGATATGACTCAAATCTTCTGTTAAGTATTATTATTATTATTATTATTATTATTATTATTATTATTATTAAGTAATTAATTAACTGCAGGCAATTATCTTTATGAAGATTAATATAATATGATATGTCTTTTAGTAGAACTTTGTAAAGTTTATTTAAGTTGTCAGTTTCTAGAATGTTGACCATTTTGCAACTTTGCCAAAGTTACACTTATATTCAGTTTTCAATATGGATTACAATTTAAAATTCCCTCATGATAATTTACATTTTATTTTGTTGAATAACTCAATGATGGATGTTATTGTTTAGTATAAATATTAATAATTAGGATACCATGTAGTTGATACTTTAAGGTGAATACAATTCTATTTTAAGCTTTAACATTTTAATGGATGTACATTGTCTAGCTTATGCCTATACAAAAACCCAAAAACAGATGACCATGAATGCTTGATTTGATTTAAGACTCCTACTAGATATAATGTCTTATTTATTTTTATTTGTTAAATATACATGTCAGATCTATTATAAAATAAATATGTATGGTATTTTACTCGAACAGGATTATCAATAGACACAATTTATTAAATAGTAGGACATTGATTTCATAATTATATATAAATATATTATGTTGAATTAATACTGAATAATTTTGGAAATACACAATATTTTATAGAAAATTCAGGTAGATACCAACAATTATGTAAAAAAAGGTCTATTTAATAATAAAAAATATAGGTACTCACTACTGTAATTTTACATAATATGAAACATGTATTAGGTATGTTACATTCAGCCATGCGCAAATAGGTAATACAGATAATACATACTTTTTAGTAAATTTTTTGATATAACTATCAGCTTAGAATGATGTAATTTGTTGTTTTTATTGTAATTAGATACATTTTGTTCCACTCTACTGTGAAGTATGCTTATGGCTTATGGGTGGTATTATGTACTTATTAAAAGAGCGAGCAATAAATTTACCTACCTATTTAATACTTAATAATAGATGTACTAATCAGTTTTTTATTTGTTCTTATTTTAAAATCATACTTTATTAAATCAATATGTCCTTTAATATCTGTTTAAACAAATAGGCTAATAGTTTTTTTATTAAGCAAACATTTTGCAAAAAACTCTTATCTCTATATATAAATATTAGAGAACACTCCATTTGTACATAGTGATGAACACTGTATGCCCAATAAGGTTAGATTAGGATATGTCATGATAGTAATGGTATGGCAAGGGGATAATCAACATTTTTAAGGGGTGATGGATGGATAATGATTGTAAGATCAATAGGTAATAATTCAGTATAAAGTATGATAGCAAATTGCCTAATCGAGTAATATAAGACTTGCCTCTGAAAAATTTCAAGTTCACCATTAAGTAGGTATATAATAATAATTTCAGAATTAAATTGGAATGGTTTTTATTTGCCAAACAACTTGTATCAATTGATATTTCATTCGGTACACTTTCACGTAATATGTCTACAAAAATATACAATTATTAAAAAAAAAAAAAAACAGATGGTATATTTATAGTTATAACATACATTTTACTGAATGAATTTAATAGTATGATTTCCATTTTAATTGTACATATGTAAACAAGCCCAAGTTAAAGAAAATTACTTTTTTCATTCAATAAATCTATCCTCTTTGTCATTTAATATCATATAATAATTATTGATCTTTAGGATTTTTTAATCAAATAATTCAAAACTTCTAAAAAATTTTAATATTTTATTCATTTTATATTTATAAATCATATAATATGTTTAGGAATATCAGAGAACATATTTTTGATTGACATAATACTTGTAATTTATAAGTTTATGTTTACCTATTAATAATAAGTATTGCTTTAATTTTAATCATTTTTCTGCTAATGGTTATTATCAATCTTAAACTCTAAAAAAAATAAATTACATAGGTAGGTAGTATTTATTTTGTATACCCTGCCTGTTTTGATGAATTCAACCCTTGGTTGTCTTGAATAGTCTTAATAGGGACTTGTAAAGTTGTATGTATAAATATAGGTAGTTACATATGTATCAAATAAGATATATGTAGTAGGTACATATTTGTTTTAAAAAAATATTTACAGATTTATCCGAGTAAAACTTTTCTCATCATATTGCTGTCGGTGCTATCTCCAAGTATGTTTCTGTGGTTGACTATACATTTTGATGAACACAGGTACTGTAGCAATGGAATACGGTACTTGCCACAAAAGTCCACAAACTTGATATGTTCTACTCTGTCGTCAAAAAATACACCTGCCAAAGTAAATAGAAATGTTGACATCACAATTGCAATGAATTTAATAAAATAATCTGTGAATAACACACGTTTGTATTCAGACTGATTGTTTATTATGAACAACTAAAATAATTTAATTTTGTTAAGCTAAAAAGGAGTAGGTTTATACATCATTATTCATAAGTAGTTATGTTATAGTATATAACCTATACCATAAATATAAAAAAAAATATGGATTTTAGTATGTAGCTATTTATTACATTTGGGGAAATTTACTGAGAAAATAATTTATTCTGTGACACTTACAATTATGGAATTTGTATAGATTTTCAGTCAATATCTACCAACTCTATAGAATTACGATTACCTAAATGAAACTTTTGGAGCACTAGAAAAATAATAACAGGTACATAACTAGATTAGGGACTTCTTAAATTTGCATGTTGTGGTGGCTGTAGAATATTCTAGGTATCACCTATTTGTCTAAATTATATATAAAATTTTTTTATGAAATTCCAACAAAGTTTAACAAAAGATACCTACATATTTGAATAATTTCAGAATTTTCTACGATACCTACCTAATTGATATTGTACTAGGGTGGCATCATGAACTAATTCATGGTTGGCACCCACCACAGGCTCATAAACTCATTAGGACATAAAAATTGTGCAGTTTTTGATTTTTTGGGGTGTATTCAATTGATATTTAGTTTTTTTGAGGGAAGTCCAATTCGACATTCTGTATTAGAAAAAAAATATCTCAACAAACAAATAATAAATTAAAAACATTAAAATCGTTATCAACAACTAGATGGGCGTGCAGATCAGAAGCTATTGAAGCAGTTGATCATAATTATGATTCTTTTGTGCAGTGTCTTCCAAAATATATAAGACTACAAAATTAGCTGATGTGAGATTAAAAGCAAATGGACTTATCCACAATCTAAATAGTTTCAATAACCTATTCTGATTCAAATTTGCATAGTTAGCACAGAGTTACAATCACCAGACCTAGACCTCTTAGCTGCAAGCTGCCATATAAATTGTTGAAGCACTAAAGAAATCTTTAACTGATGAAGACAACTGTTCAACATTATTTGACAAAATTTTGGAACTTTTGTAGGTAGGTTACAAAAACTTGAGGTAGGTACCAAAATATGTAAAACAAAGAAAAGTGTCTAGTCGAATTGACAGCAACAATACCTACTCTACATTTTACCTCTGATAAAAAAAACTGATGAAATGTTTTGTGTACCTACCTCACAATTTTAGATGACCTTTTAAGAGAATTAGAAGAACGTTTTAGGCAAAAAATACCCACTATTAAGGACAATTGGACGTTTATTACAGTTTAACCTACATACCTAGTACATAAACATGGCTTAACTTAAATGACAGTGAACTTCAAGCAGAACTCAGATTGTTAAAACTGTTACCAGAATTTGAAATTGGTAAGACTAGCAAGAATATTAGTCAGTGGTTAAATAATCTGACCACTAATAATTTATGTAATTGTTTTCAAAATATTTTCCAAAATATTGACTTTTTGTAACAATTGAGAGGTCTGAATTAGATCCAGTAGACATAATTGAAGAGTTCAAATTATACACAACGGCTACCTACTAGAATTTTAATTATTTTAAAATGTTGTTATAAGTGTAACTAACTGACACATATATTACATAATATTATATCTATATGGAATCTGAAATAGGGTCATAGGGACAACATTTTTTTTTCATATTAGTTATAATAATGACAAATTTTAAGATCGCAAAAATTGTTCAAAAAGGGTTAGATTAAGAGGCTTTAGCGAGGTTCCATCCTCTGCGCCAAAGGTCTAGCGCAATATCCATTGATTCAATGGATACGCCTATGCCAAGGACATATTTCCATATACAATATACATACCGTTTTCCCTTGTTTTTTACCCTTTATATTTAGCTAGGTAGGTACCTGCCTACTTGTTTTGGTGCAATTTTTGGTTATTTTAGTTTCATATTTTGAACAAGTTATGTGTGTGCTCTGCTGCTCTTTTAGTTGAATAAACACATCTATTTATGTCGTTGGCGTTATATTTATTGAATGTTCACACTTATATTAAAACACCTAATTGAGTAAATAATATATATGTAGTATCTATATATAGTAATACCTTGGTAGCCAGGTAGGTACTATATAATATATGTAAGAGTTAACAAGTTTCAGTCCAACTATGCTTAGAAATCCAAACATTTAAAACATATACATACCACCCAAATCACTATCATATAGATTTCTAATAGGTATAGGTACCTACATTGTTCATGCATTGTTTATGTGGAAATAATATCTAAATAGGAACCTAATTCGTTTATTTTAATTACCTACAAGAAAAGAACCAATAAGAGTAACCTAAGCGGGCAGTACCCAACAGCATCCATAAACGACATTCGACTCACTTAAGAAACGGGCTTTTTGATTCATTAAGTTACCTACATAATACAACATGTTATACAATATACTGCTCTAACATTTTTTTTTTGTGGATCTCAATATTGTTGAGAGTAGGTACTGAGATAGGTACCTATACCTACAATAAAGATGTATTTAGAATCTCTTCGATTCTATTCGCACTAAAATTAAATTCGCAGAACCTCGTAAAGAACTTATTATTCCTAGACTTATTCTAATACAAAAAAATATTGTGACTGTATCCTTCGTTGTGTCCTCCACGGCTCCACGCCACGTCGAGCTGTACCTACCAAATCCTATTTTTTACCAACACTCGGGCTAAATGCGCTCAATGTAAAAGTTACCACCCAGTGCAAACAAATGAGCACTTAAAAAGGTATTAGTATTTAGTATTTACCGTAAGTAGTATTTAGCTTGTCGCCATCAACCAAAAAAAAAAAATGTAAAATATTCACTTGAAACAAGTAATAGTAACAATATAATATAAATTAAAATGACATACCCAAATTGAAATGTAAACACGATCAAAGAGTTAATACACAAAATCCAACTACCCTTATTGATTATATTATGCCATGTATGTCCATTTCCCTATAGCATCTTAACAATATTAAACCCTCAAATCAGATCCTATCCACTATTCGCCTGGTGTAAGCTTCATTGTATCAAAATCCTTTATAAATGTATTAAAATCTAGATGCGATCGTCTCTTTTAAAATTTAATGCTAAAGGATTAAAAACCACGAAAACGACATTAAAAATGTTCCTAATGAAAAAATTGATGTTGCACTCATTTCGTAAACTAGGTATACCTACTTTTACTAACAACACAGCAATACATATTTCTAGGTATCTACATACGTATATGTATATATATAAAATATATTCTATAAGTACTAAACTGTCTTCGTAATTGAATAGCTCTAACAACACTACCTATTCATAAAAGCTAAACCGTAGGTAGGTATTAATTAAATAAAAGTTTTTTTTAATTCTTACAAGTTAAACTTATGAGAAACCTTGTAGGTATTACATTTTCAAACTTTTGGTACCTATATAAATTAAAAATTGAATGCATTTTTAATTACCTACAGAAAAGTTTTCGATTTTTCGCGATTTTGTTGTGGTTTTTAAGCTTCTATATGTCGGATAAAAGAGAGCTATCTGTCCCCTATAATCTCTTTGGCCTATATCCCCATCCCACTTTACTTGTGATCGACTAACATTACTGTCGTGCTATCCATGATAAAATAGATAGGTATTATCAAAGTTTTTCGATAGTAAAGCATCCCCTGCAGATCTCATTACTTCACCTATACATCGTAGTTCTCCACTTCTTATTGGCTGTCAATCATATAAGTTCATATATATATTATATAACACAGAAAAAAATCAACCAATCGGCAATCAGAAGTGGAGAACTACCTACGAAATTGACCGCCGGAGGTGAAGGAGATGCTCACACTGCAAAAAACTATTGCCGTACCTTACAACCTGGTATTATACAACATTACAACCGGTTGGGAGGAACGGGCATCGGCTGTAAGATACAGTGCTTGAACTTTCTACTTAGTACCTCCGACTGCTATGGAGGACAGAGCACGTCGAAGCTGAGACATCCAATTTCAATTTTTTCCTAGAGCACATTATGACCAGGCAAAGTTCGGTCGCCTGTTTGGCGGATTTTTATTTAGGAACTAGTAGTCCAAAATACGACATACGTGGACCATAATACACTTCAAAATGTTATTAGTGTTTATTATTTAATCCAAAATATTAATATTAATAACAACTAACCTTTACACTTAGGGTTGACACAGTGATGTGCGCTCGATAGGTACTCAATCAAATTGTAAGGCAAATCGCGTTCTCCGTATCGTACATTGTTAATTTTCACTGATCTAGCAGACAGCTCGAGTAAAGATGGTGGGTTATGAGTCATGTCACTTACGAATCTCACAACCAATGGATTGTCCCTCAGGCTTAACTATAAATTAAGCACAATTTATTAAGGTGTTTTAATTTTAAGTAACTTAGATACTTGTATATCTTCTTACAAATCATATTGTTAATATAAATATTATAGGTAAGTAACCCGTAGGTAGGTATGTAACCCATCTGCATAGTATATCCTATGACCTATATATTATATTTATTTAATCAGATGTGTTATAATAATAATGTTAAATTAAAAATATTAAAAGGTAACTGAATATTGGGATTAATAGGCATTAATCTAAGTAAGTAATTAATACGATTTTCAACAACTAACTACGCTTTTAAATGATTATGTTACAGGCAAACGCCAAATCAGGCAAACGTCAGAAATGCCAGGGCAAAACGCGAACTACCCACAAATCACAATCCTTGAGCAAAATGCCAAAATGTCATATTTTGGCTTTTGACCGGACAAACCTAGTTATGACCAACCTCATTTGGGCAAAACCGTAAACTGACTTTTATATCCTAAGTGCAAAACCTAATGTTTTAAACACGTTCGCTAATATTAAATACAAATCATCATAAAAAAGATATTATTGTACAAATCTAATTAAATACACTTCAATAATAATAAAAATATAATGATATTAAGAACTCTTACAAAAATACACAAATAATAATATTAAGTAGGTCCTATAATGTTAAAATAATAATATTAGGTACTCTTATATAATGTTAGAATAAAGAATTAGAATAACCCTCATTTGGACAAAACCGTAGTCTTAAATAATAATCAAAAAATATTGTAAAAATATAATAAAAAAATAATATTTTTGTTTATTTGTTACTACACATATTAGACTCATGGAATTTAGAACTACACAAAATATTTTGTTGTTTAATTTGCATCTTCTCGTAGTGCACTTAGTTTTGCAAGAACAAAAAATATATCCTTGTCCTCCATTTAATGAATTTCGAATACTAGCAGTCCTCAATAGTATTTCGATATTCGGTACATCATCGCTAGTAATTAATTGTTCCTTGCACTAAAATATTTGGTTTCTGGCGTATAGTGATGACAAAATTAAATTTTTGGTTCCTATTTTATAGAATCCATTTTCAGTGTTCAGTAATACTTAATATAACACCTAACACATTCTTTGCATCGATTTTTCCTCTATCAATACAAGGCACTGGAATTTTCACTGTCGTTTCGACTGTTAGAAGTTTATATTTTCGATGAATTAACAAGATACGTGTGGTCATTTATAATCATAATAAAATCGTACCATAAAAATCACTATTTGTATTCAATATTAGCGAACGTATGTAAGACACTGCGGTTTTGCCCTAACGATAAAAGTCAGTAGAACTGTAGTTTTGGTAGAACTGTATGACTATGTAGGTAATAGGTTCGTGGTTTGAATAGGCAAAAGCAAAAAATTAATCTAAATGTTATGAAAATGAAATTATCACCATGACATTAAATAAATTATACAGTAGGTATAATAAATATGCACACAATTCCCATAGAGGTATTCATGAAATTATTTTTTTGAATTACAACAAATTTACTAACATGGTTATTATTTGCTTAAATTTTAATTTTAATTTCGTCAACGTTTGAACTTAAAATGTATATTAAAAAAATTGTATTTGTATATATTTTAGATTTTTCGGTTCTAGCATAAAGCTATGAACTACTAATGAGGAACCTTGTATTAAATATACAACCCTTAGCTATAAAAATTTAAAATTCCTACATATTTTATCTATTAATAAAAATCCCTTGTGTTCAATATCATAACATTTGAATTCGAATTTGAGGGGCACCTTTCGAGAAAAATTGTAATGCCTTTTACTCATATACCTATTTTGTACGTAATACCTACTTTTTACATATTTTCCGTTACAAAGGAAGCTTTCAATTTTAATAAGTAGTAATACTAAACCCCAGTAAATCTTCCAATATTTCATCAACATACAGACTTGCAATAATAAGCATTCTACCTTTCTACAAAAATAAGTCCCCAAAAAAATAAACTCTATATGAATAAATAACTACAAAATTATTTCAAATACACAATTGAACTGCCTTATCCTTTATTAAACAAGTTATTATTATTTTGTTATTCATTTGATGCATTTTATTTAAAAAAAATTCCTAACATAAAACTTATATTCAACTTATTTCACATGGTAATTATGTACTGAAACTGAGTACCTATCTAATTCGTTCCTTATAAGTTATAGGGTTTGAGTACTCACTCAATCAATTATAACGAAGAAGAGTGCATATGCATATAGGCATGTCTTCATGAAAACCGTGCAATTGCTCAGCAGCCCACGTTAATAGATAATATGCCAAAGAAGGCCGTATAATGTATTTTAAACATAAATTAATATGAATAAACCAACTTTGTTTTTTTGGTATTTACCTCTGTGAGGCACTTCAATGATATGATTTCTATAGGTAGTGTGCGAAGTCTGTTTTTGTGTAACATCAACGATTTTAGGTGTTTTAGATTGGCAATGGCAGGCGGCAAGCTCTCCAGTGAGTTATCGCTCAAGTTTAGCGCTTTTAAATTATCCAACATACCCAAAGTCACAGGTACATCTGACAGATGATTTCCACCCAAACACAAGAACTTCAACCTAAAACAAAATATTATATACTAATTAAATACACTTATTATAGCTAGTGACTAGCTACATTCTACATATTACAAATAACAATTGTACAGGACCATAGAATTTGATGAAAGTAAGACCAATTTTTTTTTTTTTTTTTGGCGGGGGGGAGGGGGGAGTGTTGTTTTTTCCTTATTAATCTGTGTTGACATTTCTATAATCTATACAAAAAAATTTAATTATGTGAAAAAATATTTAAAACATTAAATAGTTTTGAAATAATGAGTCTCTTATGTTAAATACTTAAATATATCACCCAGTCTCACATAATATATACATCTAATATAATAGCATATTATAATATTACCTATGTATATTTATTACATTAAAAATAATTCACCTTTAATACGTATCAGCGTACACTGACTTTTCTACAGTTCTACTACTACCACTTAGATTCACTATATAACCGTGGACCACAACAATACCTTAATTTGTCTTCCTAACTGAAATTAAAATGAATATGAATATTTCAGCCTTCAGGTGTTTTATAATCGTGATGAATGATTATTAAACTGTGTTTTAGTTCGACATAATTTATTACCTACTATATTGTCAATACAATATAATGTATATTCAGAAAATCAATAGATCATAATAATAATAATAATAATAATAATATTGTTGTACTAACAAATTACAACTGCATTTAATGTATGTGTCGATAGCATCGAACTATAAGCGAGAATAACAACTGAAGAACTTTGGTCTGACAAAAGGCCAAGGTCAATGACATGAAAATGTTTGTCTCTGGTTTCGTTGACGTTATGTTAAGGTATTATTGAATTGGACCTTTATATGGCCGTATATCATTTGCGCTTTGTCTGTTTATCTGCATAATAGGTACAATAACTTCTCATCCAAACGTCTTACCTTTTACTAGGTGAATGATTTTAACCCTCAAAAAGTCTCATGATATGCATTATGCATGTTAAATTACAGAAATTATTTTTGGAATGTGCTTTAAACTGAAGCTGTATTAAAAATGCGTATCGACTATCAAGTATAGTACCTACATATTGATATTTTTTCAATCCTAGCTAAATGAGGTACTATCTCTACAAAAATTAACACCAAAAATCATATTGTAATCGCACATCTTGCGCAATTTTAGATACGCAATTCATTTTTTATCAGAAATCTTGAGCATCATGACCAACACGTGACCAAAACACACACAAAAACATCAATAATAATAATAATTAGGCACCTGTAATATGTATAAATATATAATATACTCTTAAGTTACATAACATATAAATATATTATACCTGATAAGTTTGTTGATATCTTTGGGTATCTCGACCAGATTGTTGCTGCCCATGTACAGGTACTCGAGAGTGGTGACCGACAGTAGCTGTTGGGGAAAGTGTGACAACCGGTTACCGCTAATGTTGAGCACCTTGAGGTGAGCAGCACAACCGAACTCCTTAGGAAACCCGTCATCGTCGATCAGATTGTTCTTGGCGACCAGCGTGGTGAGTGGTAACCGTGCTACGAAGTCGGGCACGTGCGTCAACCTGTTGTTGCTAATATCGAGCACGCGAAGGTGCTGGAACCGATTGATTGCCGGTGGCAACGATAGCATAGCGTTATGATTGAGCAACATCGTGTCGATACCATCTGGCCGGCTGCGAACGCACATGTCGTCCAAATGCTTTTGGATGGTGTCACCGTCCAGCAACAGGTAGTTGAGGTCCATCGTCTTGACGGACGATCCGTCGTCAATCGGCGCGTCGCTGTCGCTACTCTCTGACGTTGATCCGTAGTACCCATTAAACATGATCGCGAATAATAATAATTAATATTATATATTATTTAATATACGTGAATAGAGTCACTGCAATATGATGATGGTTTTGTATACCGCTCACGAACACTGCAGCGAATATTGTCGTCTAAAACACCGCGACAGATAAAATGTCGAAAATATTATAAAACGATCTCATTGACACAGGATACCTGCCTAATGAACATATATTTTATATCATAAAATACGACAGTGGGTGGCCGTGGCTATTATACCTACAGCGCTGGCTGTTATGCGTAGGTACGGTGCACGCGTGCGATCGACTCGACTACGGTAAGCAGAAAAATGGTAGCTTGCTGATTGCACGGTTATATACCTACCAGTTCTATAAACATGGAGTGTGTACTGAACACTCGATATACCGATAAGCTGTATTTTGAATATGCGGAGGGGCTAAGTATTAGCTGATCTATGGGTTTAATTGTGATAGTGTGATAAAATTATACTATACAAATCAGCTCTATTAGTTATTACGTATTACATGGTTACTATTATTTTTTTTTTATTATTATTACTAGGTATTATAAATTGATAATAATAAATAGGTAAATAATTTCACGCTTTGTTTGTAAGCCGTATACAATAATATAATGGAAGGGCATGCAGATATACATTACTATAAACAATAAACTATGGATGAACGAATATATAGGTAGGTACCTAGTTAGTAGTTAATATGGTTGATACCTGCCCATAATATACTTGCTATAATAATATATTAAAACCTATGACTCGCTCGTAATCTAATCGCACACAGCCGCGTCACCGTTGTAACAATCAATAGGTTATGTAGGCTCCTATACTATAATATGGTAAAGGTATACGCGTAGTGTATCCCAAATATTACGTAGGCCATGGAAATATCAAAATAATTAATGACTATATTAGCTAGATACCTACCTATTACTATTCTGCGATGACAATTTTTTAGATTTTTTGAACTGCACAGGGTATGTCTGTAGATGTACGTCATTACTACCTACCTAACTTCTAAAGTGCTTACTAAATACTCATACTAACTACTTTATATTTAAAACGTATATGATGAGAAACAAGTAACTATATAGGCACGAGTTACCTAAACCTATACGGCTATACCTACATAATATTGGTATCCATTTTACAGTAGAGAGACCTAATAATTAAGAAGTAATAACTTGTATTACACCTACCTAACTATGGTCCATAAAATGAAATTACATTTTTAAATTGTTTTAAGAATTATACACCTAAGTTTTTCAACAATTATTTGTTAATATCGTATATATATTATACTCATACACACAGTAAGTACGTATACACTTTTAAGCTTCTAATTAATAAATAATAGGTGTACCTTTACATTATGTAGGTTTATAAGCTCAAACTTTAGGATAATACAATAGCTTCTTCAAGTGACAGCACTACTGCAGGCAACTCGTTGTAAGTGAACGTCGTTTTGTCGGGAGAACTCTTGGTCAGAATTATACCTTATATATTATGTATCTAATTGTGAATTTAAGTCGGCAGCACAATCATAATAGACGCATGTAAAATATATCCAAGAATCCAACAAATTTGTTGTGCGTTGTTGGGGCACTTGCCAATTTTGTTGAACTTTATTTAGACTGGTGAAGCTATTTTCAATTTTTTGCTGTCAATATAGGTACTCCAACAGCATACATTTTCCTGGCTTCTAGTTGGTGTATTCGAATGGTCAAATTTGAGAACGCCCAGTAGTTTTCTAAATCATCAGGAACAGTGGCGGATCCAGGATTTAATTTTTTTTTTTTTTTGGGGGGGGGGGGGCATAGTCCTAAACGCAAATCTTAAATTCTTATTTTTTTATTTATTAAAGATTATATTAAAATTATTATAATACTGTACAAAATTTAAAGGTATATTATGACGACCACAGAAAATAATTGTTTTAATTATAGGAATTAACTTCTTTTTATTTTCTTTGACAGTTTCATTTAGTTGGTCATCAAGTTAAATTTCTATTGCTTTTTGTTTGCCTTCAAAACATTTTATAAATTCTAAAGACCGCACAATTGCTGTTTTATTGCTCTTTCCATGTGTATCTTAAAATCTTGTAAAGCATCTTTGTATTTTATCATAAGAATTTCTTTTAAAATCCCAAGAATTGTCCTCCAACCCTACCAACTTGGGTCCAAAAAGTACACATACTTTACAAAACGCTCTTTCTCTATTACTACTATAAGCTAACCAGTTGTGCTTATTTAGCCATTCAATTTGAAAGCTTCTTTTATGACCTTTTTTATTCATACTTACAGGGAAAATATAATTTTATCTAGGTGACCACGTTTCTTTTAAATATTTGTAAAGCATATTTGGTTCGTTTCGAATTTTTAGATTTGAATTTTCTTCAATAGCAAATGCAATATCATATTGACTGTTGAAATCGATTACATACGAATCAGATAATGCAGCTGGCTCTGACTCCAGTGGTAACACGATTACATTTTCCATACCTTCACTTGCCACTTGGAAATGGAATATTTTCATAACTTGTTTTCAACTTAAAAAAATTTGATTTCACGTTGTCGCTTTTGTAACATTTTAAAACAAAACACTTCAACACGAAGTTACAAACGAATACTACGGACATCAGTAAGAATTAGGTACAACGACGACCGTGACATTACAAACATTTTAAATACCATTATAATACCAATATAAGATATGGAGTGTGGGTTAAATCTATATTATAATCGGGTGACAAATAAATGAAGCTCAGATAGCGATGGCTAGTGCCCTAGTGGGAAAGTTACACGGCAAAAATCTGCGTAAGGCGAATTGTCTTTATACCCGCATAATAAAAGTACCTAATGTGTTTGAGAAAATTTCTTATACAATGTGTTAGAGCGAAACAATTTAAATGATAAAATTGTAAAAATTAAAATAAACACTATTGAATTAATAAAACTTAACTTATGCCAATGGGGGGGGGAGGGGGTGAGGCCCTTCGAACCCCCCTTAAATCCACCACTGGTCAGGAAATTTTTTTAGAAAAACCATGAATTTTTAAGCAATGCAAGTTTTTGACAAAATCGATTTGGTTTCTTTGGTAAATTGTATGTATGATTAAACAAAAAACTGGGTAAGTGGGTAACGCTCCGCTGTAGGTACGCATTAGGTATCAGCTATAGAGAGTCACTTTAGTGATTGTTAAATTTGAATTCAATGATATAAAATCGTTGCATACGAAAAACGATCCTGAGCGAAAACGGTATGTCAGCCTGTAATATTATTCAATAGTCAAATAGGCTATATTTTTCTGATACAATTGTGATTAAAATAATTTATTGTACTATTAGCCATTAGTACTACAGTAGGTAAAATTCATTTTGGTAGAAAAAAATTCGTTTGAAAATGTCATTGTATGTATAAAATATATAATAATATACCAACTTTAAAAGTTTTTGTATATTATGTAATTTCGTCAACATTTGAACTTTAAATGCTTATAAAAAAATCTTGACCATTTATATTATTAATATTTTTAAACTGTAATTCTAGCAATGTGTGAGGTCTTGTATTAATTTTTCAAGCTTTTTAAAATAACGAATAAAATTTTATTGACATTTAAAGAAAAAAAAATAAAAAACTTGAAAATTGAAAGCGTTCACTTTTTACGAATATAAATATTTTGATATCAATTTTCTAAATTTTTCTATGCAGTTTTATTGTTACACCTAAATTTGTTGATGTTTTTTTTAAATATTGAAGAATTGGTTGGCCATTGAAATTTAGAGATAAAATTTGAGTTGTGGTTTGAAAAATTGAGTACCTATTACAGTTTGACCTGAAAAAATATAATTTATTACTAATGAGTATTTTTATACCGGTTATAGAGAAATTAGTATCCTTTTATATTGGTTTTTTACAATAACTGCAATGGCTATATCTCTATAAAATCGAATTCTTTATTTTCAAATGGTTCGTCAATGTATAACTTAATGTAATGATAGTCTACAACATTTATCAATTTCTTTTTTGAAAATCATATCTGTATGACTGCATAACGAAGAACAGTTTATTATATAACTGTAAGCAAACTACAAACAGGTGATAATAATAACATTCACCTCATCATGTCGAAATTAAAATGTTAACATTTTTTAATGTTGTCCATTTTGTACAACAGTTTTTGGAAATCATACTTTAATGTCTTGTTATAGACGAACACCCCATGTTTTCTGTGTGTTGGCCCTCTTCTTTGGCCTTCATTTGGTTAATGAACTTCGAAATGATGTTATATTTTGGACATAAAATAAAGTCCTTAATAACATTATAAATCAGTTTGGCCGAATTATGGTTTTGTGAAATTTTGCATTTGCTATAGAACAATATTATATTATAATAAAAAATAAAAGAAGGTAAGTGGATGTCATTGTTATTTAATAAGTAATTTCATCCAAATTCAAACATAAAACAACTAAAAAAAACTTCAAAAGATTAAAAACTGAAAATGTCAGTAAACAGCTCAGAACGAGTCAAAATATTTTGAAAATCTTTTCAAGTGTAGAAAATGAAAAAATAAACATATACTGCAAATTTAAATATCTACATGTTTAGTTTTCTAATTACAACAAAATAAGAAAATCGCTCCATGAAAATTTTTTTTTAATTGATTGGTCTTAAGTACCGGCAACTATGGTCATGCGATATTATTATTAATGTATTATTTAAATTAAATCAACAAATGTTTGGTTTATATTAAATATTTTATGTGTAACTGAGAATTTGTTTTATATACCTACCTACAATATTTTTACCTACAATCAGGCACGTATTTGAGGGGGGGGTGATAGGGGCGATCACCCCCCCCATAAGTCCTTATACAGTCCATCTTAATTCTTAGTATGTAGGTATCTTATAAATTATAAGATTATAAAAAAAATTTATGATCTACTATTTTTTTAAATAAATTTTTATAATAATTTAATTAATTTACGATTTAAGAATTATCAAGATAGTATCAGCATAGAATACTATAGAAACGACACTCCCCCCACCACTTCTCTTTTTTTCATTTTGGCAGCGGACTGATTGATGTTGTAAGCATAGCGGGAGAACATGAAGTTATGCACCTTATCAAATTAATTCAGGCAGAACAAAGGATTTCGGGAGAGTGTCGTTTCTATAGTATTCTATGGTATCAGTAAAATCATGATAATGATTTACACTGAGATAGATAAGAATATTCTTCCGTATATTCTTATCACGGTTAAAATATTATCCATTACATTTTTTGACGAAAAGATAAACGTTTTTCGAAAAAATTAGCATTATTGAATATACACAGAGAAATAGAAATTGACACTCAAGAAATTATACAAAGGTTTGCTAAAATGAAAAGGAGACACACCGATCTCTTATTGTAGAAAATGACAGATGTAATAAATTCATTATGACAATATCATATTATTTATATATTATTATCAATTATTAAACGATAATTTATTAACTATTTAAATTACAGTTGTTTAATAAATGTATTATTAGGCACAGCAAATTATTTTTAATGTAAGAGCACACCGGCTTAAATGTATTATAGAGGATTTGGACTAGGTATTCCTAAAAAAATGAATCACCCCCCCCAAGATGAGGTCCCAGATACGTGCCTGCCTACAATAGTGTCTAAAAATATTTAAATTTAAACAATATAATATTAACTTGGTTTTATTAAGAATACAATGTTTATAAATATATATTAGATTATTAGATAGAAAACATTGATGCTAATTTTGGAGTGTAGAGAGAGAAAAAAATTGTATTGTTATCTCTATAATACAATATATATTGGCCTATACTGAAACTGTTTTGGCCACTTATTAGCATACCTTTCAAAAAGTTGAAATGACACCACCTTGATTGAAAACTTAAAATGCGGTTTCTTATAAGTATAGTTCATACGAACTTTAATCAAAAAACATACATACATTTTTTTTATAAATATTTTAAGTTGAAATTAAAACGAAATTTGATATACTTAAACAAAGACAACAATTTTATTTATTTTGTTGTAATTTTAAAATATTATTCGTGGATATATTTGAAACTTATTAAGTAATCATTGTATTTTATACACACAATGCCAATTTCCTTATGGGTATTCGTTTTTGAATTACCTACAAGATTGCAAAAAAATAAAACAAGTCTTTTAAGTGCGTAACATAATAAATTTTACGCGCCCAACAGATTACGTTTAGCTTCGTTAGTTTAAAAATTAGATTGAAATGACCTATCATAAAAATTAAAGATAAGATTATAATCAAGGGCAGCGGTTCTCAACCTGTGGTAAGCGGAAAAGGTGGTACGCAAATAAAATAAAATTCTATGTACCTATACTATAAACGTATACCTAGTCTACATTATTAATAAGTAAAAAGTCAGGTGGTATGAAAAAAAATTCAAACTGTGTAGAAAGATACTTCAATATAAAAAGGTTGAGAACTGCTGATCTAGGGTATCTAATGGGCTTTCAATCGAATTATGAGTATTTTAAGATGGACAAACAATTTACAATTTTTTTTACACTGTAACGTCCTAGAACTCTAAACCTAAATCCCCACTCCTCGGCACCACTCGTATGCTCAAAGTAACCACTATCTCTCGGTACTCGGTAGTCGGTGAACGGAGTACCTACCAGAGCTTGCGCTAAGGAATTTGTAGAAGTCCCAATTATAATAATGTAAATGCAATTTAATTATTTAAAAACATTTCTGATCGCTTAGTTACCAATATTCAGGAACTAAAAATTACACACAAACTTTAATTGTCGAGCTCGAATAAATAAGGATGGGACAGAGGGAGATATGGCTTCCAAGCACTTAAGACCCCAAGGCGCATTGGCGTAACTAAGGGGTCTAGAAAGCGATTAGCGTTTTACTTTTTAGCCTATACTGGTTAAAATTCAAATCATTGCTTAAAAAAGTGAGTTGTTGCAGATTGTCTCAATGCCTGCCAAATGTGAAACATCGAAATTATTTTGTATGAAAAATACATGCATTCAAATTAAAAAGATGATTTATTCAAGGAAATAAACATGGGATAATCAAAAACAAAATATTTAGATTTTTTTAAGAAAAGTTATTCTTTATCTCAAAGGAGCGTTAGATGAGTGCCTTGCGAGCGTCGTCATTCCAACGCTGGTCTCATCCGCCACATTTGTTGTTTCACATTAAAAAATTGTCATTTGGTAAAATATTTAATTATTATAAATGTACCTAATATATAAATATTGCGGATGCACTTCGTACCTATAAGAAGAGTAAAAATCTACCTAATAGGTTGACTATGGTCTATGACCCTAAACAGATGGGGGTCATTATCATGCTATAATAAATATAGAAAGATAATTATCCAATAGAGTAATAAGTAGTAAGATTATAAGTATATAGATAAACAAACTCAGCCCAAATGATTCCTTCTCCCCCATGTACTCGTCATAAAACTCCGGCTACCTGCAAGTATCTAACAAATTCTTTTTAATTGCCCATTTATTTTCTCCCGATGTAAACATTTTCTCACATCAACAATTTTTTTTACACTCCAGATGACTTAAATAAAGAAAATAAGACAAAAACTTACTATAAAACGATAACTTAATTGTATGTTAATAGTATATAATAATTAATTTACATTTTGTAGAAACCATACATCTGAGCTTATAAAATTGTATAAACTGGAATAACTTGAATTTGTTAATGTATTCTTACAGACATAATATTTAGATTATTATTACAATTTCCAGAACCAAAAGATCTTAAGGGTTTAAGAAGTAAAGGCTAAGCCACTATTAAAGTGGCTAAATAGTTGAGCAAGAATTTTTTCAATCACACTCATGCATGAGCTTTCCTTGCAGGAGCACTTTAAATTTAGGGATACAAACTAATGGATTGAACTAAACTTATTACTAGGAACTTCAACATCTTTGTTTTACAATATAAGTAATTACAATTAAAATTACACCCAAGGATTTTACCTTAGCAGGATATAAATGTGCACATGTTGTTTTAGAGTACAATTTAATATAAGTGGTTGACTGACAAATGGAGATAGAGGGACCTATCTAAATGATTCTGATAGACAGAATGAATACCTGTCACATTTTGACTTCTGGTTTACAAATCCACAAATTGCACATGTTTTAGAAAATTGAAGACCACATCAGTCAAAGACATGGGAATGGGGTCAATGGGGACACCATATATAAGGAAGTCCCTAAAAGTGTAGAACAACATATTCAGATGTCCCAAGCATCTTCGCGCATTTTTATAATTCTATTATTACGTTTGAACTTGTCTTTATTAATCAAAACAGTATAAATACAGCTGGATAATCTGGATAGCTGGCAGAGCAGCTCACAACAAATGTACAATTGGTCTTATTAACTTTCAATTTCGATATTGGTTCAATATTTATTTTTAATTCCTAATTTTGATTTTTTTGAAAAATAGCTTAATAAATAGTAAGTTGTTAGCTTACATTCCTTAAAAAAATGGATCTTGGTCCACAATAAGTTAATAAATTTAAATTACACATTTATTTACCGATTTAATATATTAATGTTAATCGTCAATTCCACTCAAGAAATAATGTAATACATATTCATCTTCTTCTATTGAGCAATGTAACAGCATTCCTTCTACTACATGACATAATATTTTTGATAAGTTTAGTGTTTCACAATTTAAAAATTGAGAAAATTTTTTGATATCAACTACTGTAGAATATTTGTTTTCTTTATCTGTAACAAATTAATATATTATATATATATATATATATATATATGTTTAATAATGAATTAACTTAAAAGTTATAACAATACTTCACAAGGACAGAGCGTCTAAATATTTGAAACATAAATGATACCTACAGATAAAATTGCAGTCACAAACTCACAACAAATTAATACAATAAACAAACTTAAAATACATGAGCATTTTAACTGCTCAAAAAGATGACAGACACAAAAATAAAAAATATACACCATTGTAAAATCAATATATGTCCTAAATCAGGATCTAAAATTAATTGTAAACTGTTCAGTAAAAATTTTAATTCAAATTTTGTTTGGTATGTTAACTAAAAAAAAAATATCTATAAATGTTGATAGGTGCATAAATTATGCAGTAAATGTAATTTTTTTATGTTAATACTCACCAGTTGAATTTTGAACGCTAACTATCTCAAGACCTATAAAATGTGTGTCGACTGTGGCAGATAAATTTGATACTCCTAAAACCATTTTCCCAGAAGAATCCAACGATACCATTATCCTTGGACCTATGCGCTTCATTTTATCAACAATGTGCCGCACTACTCGTATTGATGGCATAACCACACTAATCTAAATTAAATCATGTATCAAATAATTTTGTATAAGTATAAAAGTTTTCATTAAAAAATAAAAATGTTACACTATAAATATTTTTAATTTTTTATTGACTGTTTTAAATATATAATATTTAATTATAAGTAAAATAAATTCAAAACTTGTAAATGCTATTACATTATGAGCAGGTATGGTTGGCTCCTTATATGCTGACCAATCTTTTGGCAGTATAACAGAAACTGGAATATCATGAGTACATAACTGTTTACTGGATACTTGAGACTCCTAAAATGTGAATAATGTACTGTTAATTTTGACCAAACTATAAAATTATTTAGTGCCATATCATAGATTAAATATACTTGGTACATTAAATCTATGACTAAGTTATTATAATTATTATAACCAGATCCAATTCAATAGTTAGACATGGCGATAGTTTATCAGTAAGTTTCATCTTGAGAGTTTTTAAGTTTGTTTGTTTTGCTGAACTCAGTGAAGATGCAAGCATATCTAAACAGAATAAAATAATACCTATTAGTTTATACCAAACTTATCAATTGTCTATTATTTAATAGTTTTAAATATTCCTAAACAGTGACATTGGTAAACCTAAGTTGACATTAAATATCTATTATAATTATCTTTGCTATGTTTGATTGATTTTTGAATAAAAATTGCTGAATTTGGATCAAACATTACATTAACACTTGTAATTTTATTTTTTAGAAAATATTTTGTTAAGAAATCTTTTAAACTGATTTTACTTTTGTCAAAGATCACAAATTATAGGTACTTTATAAAAATATGTTCCCTGTTTAATACATCCATAATTTTCCTTACGAGACAGGTTAATTAAAATGAATGATATGTATGAACAGATATAGAGTAACATTTGAATACTATTTTAAGCAGTAACAGTAGTATAATATTGTTTACAATACTTTCCTATTCAATAATTAATACCTATTAATTATTACTTAATAATAAATAATATATAATATAATAATACTTACCAATTGGTAAACTGAATAAAATTTCATTAGATTCTGTTTCACCAATCATGTCATAGTCTTTAAAAAATGACTGTTGGTCTAATACAGACCAAACACTGATTTGATTACTGTTAGATTCATTTGAAGCGATTAAGTATAATTTAGTAGAGCTTAGTCTCAAAACTACATTTCTACATAACTTGGATAAAATTATCACAATACCTGTTCAAAAAAATGTATTGTCATATAGAAATAAAAAAACTTCATATTTTATATTTACTGTAGAACTGTTTCATGCAATGTGGATCAATAATTTTACCACGAAACTTCATAATTTTATCTAAAAAATAGAAGTCATTTTGTAATTATGTTTTAAAGAGAAAAACATGTAATGAGTAATGTCATGTATGTTATTCATTTTCAATGTCTTAAAATGAAATAGCTGACAATAGAGTATAAAGCAAAGGATATCCAAAAATATTAATTAAAATTTAAACGTAAGTAGTAAGTACTTCAGTAAGAAGTACCTTCTCGAATTTAAAAATATTTCGTGATATTATCGTATTTGTTATCAAATTTTAATCCTGGTTATTTCGAATTCCCGCGATTTATCATTTTCATAAAGTATAGTTTTTCTGACACAACCTCTGAACCTCATAATGGCCATGTTGGTGAGCTTTCAAGCTTTGAATTATTGTTACAATCATTTTTCAATTATTTAGTACAAATTATGTGGTTTTGTACCACTGACCAAATTATTATAAATCATAGCGTGTTTTGACTTTCGAGCAATGAGTTCAACTCATAAAATTATAAATGAAATAAATAATAATAAATATGACTCGTATACCTTTTATTAGGTATATTTTTTAACCGTGGTTGAGGCAATGTGCCGAACTAATGGGAACTACATAGTGGCTATTTATGTATTTAAAATTATAATATAATATTATATTATTATGTACACATATTATTATGTATTTGTGGGTGCGCCGACGCAGCTGCTGCAATCCGCAGGCTGTCCAGACTCTATCATCGATAATCAACGTAAAAGATAATATTTCAATGCTGTTATCATTGATCAGCTGTTTTACTTACATGTTTCAATACGTTTTTAGCCCCGCCTGTACAATAAAATACTATAGTAGTATATACGTATATTAGTATTTTCGTGTACGGTGTATGTGATTGTGTTTGTGTACACACCGTCACACCGCTGTTTAGTGCACACTGCAGTAAACTATCACTAAAAGTCAGCACTCAGCAGCGGATTTCTAAAATATTAGGGAGCTGCTCGCTAAGGATAAATTGTTTTTACAAGTTCGTCATGTTATTTGATAGTTACTCAATTTTACAGTTTTAAGATCTTACCTATCTATTAATTTATTAGTTTTTACCACAGTTAGTAATTAATCATGTCGGGAAAAGACAAATTGCCAATATTTCCATCTCGCGGGTGAGTAAATCAACTGATAAGATATTGAAATTGGGCGTTGTCTGTTGAGGTATTGCTTGAATACAATTTGTATTTGATCAATGGTTGAGGCAACATACAATGCCTGTTTCCAAAAATATATCATTTTAGTCAAATTATAGATTTAATTTATTGTAGCACATCAACAACTTTGATTGTTGTCTATTAATACACCATGACTAAATGTATAAAAAAAAAAAAACTGCTTTTAGAACTCATAGTTCTATTTAGACATGTAATATATGGGTACTGTAAAATCTGTAATTATAATTTAATTTCAACAATGTTTTAGTGCTCAAACAATGATGAAAGGGCGTCTTATGGGAGCGCAAAAAGGTCATAGCTTGTTAAAAAAAAAAGCTGATGCTTTACAAATGAGATTTCGTTTGATTCTTGGTAAAATTATTCAGGTACAATTAAATATATAAATTTATTTTTTTTGTTCATTTCTTCAACTTTAAACTTGTTAATATTAAACAACTATCTTATGTGCAGACAAAGACATTGATGGGCGAGGTAATGAAAGAAGCAGCATTTTCTTTGGCCGAAGCAAAATTCACAACTGGTGATTTTAATCAAGTTGTTTTGCAAAACGTAACAAAAGCTCAAATAAAAATACGCACTAAAAAGGATAATGTTGCTGGTAATAAAAAAATATTTGTATTGCATATTATAAATTTATAACATTGTATATTTTAAATTTATAACATTGTATTAATAAATTTGTTTAATGTAGGTGTGACATTGCCTGTTTTTGAAAGTTACCAGGATGGTACCGACACTTATGAATTAGCAGGTTTAGCTCGAGGGGGTCAACAATTGGCTAAGCTTAAAAAAAATTATCAAACTGCAATTAAACTTTTGGTTGAATTAGCGTCATTGCAAACATCTTTTGTTACTTTAGATGATGTTATTAAAATAACAAATAGAAGAGTCAATGCTATTGAGCATGGTATGCATTTAAATTAAAGTTTATTCTTATCTTTTAACTATATATATTTTTTATGTATCATGAATCTAATACTGTAATTATTATTTTTCTAGTTATTATACCCAGAATTGAAAAAACACTTGCATATATTATTTCCGAGCTTGACGAATTGGAGCGAGAAGAATTTTACAGGTATATTTATCGATCAAGTATAATTATATTTACTTTATTCAAGTTAAGAACCGTACTTGGTCGGGACTTTTGTTTATTGGTAGTCAGACCAAGACCACAGAATCAACCATCTATATGCCTGCCATTTAGTAATGTCCCGTCTCAGCATGCGTCATGTTGGCAGCCGAATATAGTTGTTAACTTGAATAGAGTATATTTAAAATTAGTCCTAGAAACATGCATTTAAATACATGCAATATATTATAGACAATTCTTTTAATATGAAGAGGTAAATATCTTAAAGTTATTAAAAAAAAATGTTTCTCTTAAATTTCTTGTGTTTTATAAGGTATTGCCTAGTTTTTTATTTTTACCTAAAGATTTTGTTATATATTTATGTTATTAGGTTAAAAAAGATTCAAGATAAAAAGAAAATTTCCAATAAAAAGAAAGAACAACTTAAGAAAGATATGAAAGAAGCTAATGCTAAATATGGTAACATGTTGGATGAAGGAGATGAGGATTTATTATTTTAAATGAAGCAATAATAAAGATATCTTGCTTCTAATATATAATATAAATTAGGTACTGTACAAGATCATTGAGTAATTATTTAACTAATTATAAAAAAAAATTGTACTTCATACTCTTATAGTAATTAAAACAAAATCAAATTAATGTTTACATTGTTCACAATATTAAATAATTATTTTCAGTTACCATGTAATATGCTCTCATCCTCATTAAACTTAGGTAAATATACTATATTTGATGCAAAGTAATTATATTTTGATTTATACATAATACATATAGGTACGTACCTAAAAGTAAGAATTCTATGGTTTGATTGTTAAGCTTCAAAATGAATGTACTTTTTTAAGATATAAAATAGATAGGTGTGTTATTACTTACTAGACATATTAATTTTATTGGTTTATATTAGATAAGAGTTTGTCTGTTATAGATGGTAAATGTTTAAATATTTTTATTTTATTTTTGTGTAATGAACATTCCATTATTCGTCTAATTACTGAGATAATATCTCATCAGAATTATTGTGTATGTAATGAAATAAATAACTTTAACATGCATATTTGTTCACCACACCATGAAAGAAGTTTTTGTTTCTATTATTGTTATAACTTATAATATACTTATAATTCATTATATTCTATACTAATAACTTTCATGTTATATTACACATTTTGAATACCTTTAATGTTAATATTTTACATCAATATTAGAGTATTAATATATTATTTCAAATATTATAATATAATAGCTAATAATATTGTACATTTTTGAAATACTAAATTTAAATATATATTATTTAATTGTTGGAAAAAATTTCAAAGTAAATTAATACTTACAAAAAAAAATTCTCTTCAGGTTCTAATCTGTTTTTTAGGGTTAGGTTAGGTTAGGCGCTAGCTTAAATTATGGTAGTTGCTTTGTTATTTGTGTTCTTTTATTTATTCAGATTAACCTTAAAATCAACTTGCAAGTACAGCAACTATTCAGTATTTCAGTACAACAGCACCTATTCAATTTAATAACTAATAATTAAATGGTTAAACGTGTCCTAACGGAGTTATATTGTTCAGTCTTTGGAGTATTAAAAGAAATACAAGCAAGTCTGTCTGTATAATTTGTTTCCCAAGCGAGTCCTTTCATAAAATCCCTCTTATTAATAAATTCATAAATCCTCAACGAATGGTTATCCGAAACCTGGGTATCCATCTTGATAAAACATCGATACAGGGCAACCCCAAAAATAGAATCCCTCAACTCAATACTTCACAAACACTTTCTCAAATCAAATATCTCATATAATACCAAAATACTACAAACAAATAATCCATAAAACATTAACTATATGGCACATAGGTATTTTTCGTAGTCTTTCATTAAATATGCTGTTATCGCGGCACCAATATGCTCCTTGGTATGCATTTCTGCATAAAATAGTCTCATGTTAGTAAAATAAAATATTAAATGTTCATAACAATACTTATAAGTTATACCTAATAATCTTTACTCTTTTATGCCCAACCTTTGTTTCATCACATTCCCTGACAATCCATCTCGTCAGCTAAAGCATAAATGACCCAGAGTCAAGTGTTATTTGGTCACCCAAGATATATATCTATATATTTAATTATAAAGTCCTTTGTTTTCCCTTGTCCCGGATAATCTCTGACACTAATAATGGATTTGACCTATTCCTTACTGCCTTCCAGAGCAGGACAGCAGGTTTTAAACCTACCGCCATTAATGGTTACTGGCCTTACACTACTTATACACATATTGTCATGTTGACATGTAACGTAGGTAGGTACTGTCGTTTTATAAAGCAAAAAAGCTACCTCTTGCTCCTGAATAATGAGGGATGAAGTAGAAACATACCGGTAGTTTTATCTATCCAAGAGTATAAATATGTTATATTATATAATAAAATATGAAAATATGAAAATATAAAAATATAATTTAAATTAAATTAATCTTTATTAATAAAAAATAATTAAATCTTATTTCAAAAAAAATTCGGGGTTTGAACCCTAACCCCCCCCCCTGGCTACGGCCTTCATGCCTATGTATGGTGGGAAAATATTGTTAGATATAAAAGTTGTCGAAGTCGTTAAGATTAAGCTACTAGCTGAATAACCCGACTTTGCCCGGAAAAAAAAAAATAAATATAAAATACAGAACTATTATATATAGGCGTGCCTATCTCAGTTCACGGGTATATCGTTATGTCGGTGTCTCAATTTGTAAAAACATTCGACTTAGATGGGAAACCGCAAGTCGCGGATTGGATTTAGCAAGTCTTGTCACTAGGTATATTTTTAGCGTGGTTCAAACTTCAAACTAAAAGTTGCCTACTCTACTCTATTTCTATAATCTTTTCTTACATAGCTAAAAAATCTCTGATATTTTCGTCAAAACCAATCGAGTTTCGTTTTGAGTACCTAATTATATACTGTAGCTTATGCTACAACCTACTAACATACACTTAGTTTCAAGAAATAGTTTCTTTAATCGAGGCCATTACGGTTAACGCGACGATTTAATGCATGATTTTACCTCATTTGACCAAATAACCAATGTCTTGTGAGTGTAGTGGCTACCATTTATGTACAAAAAAATTTAAATTTCTATTATTAGAATATTTTTATCTGCTAGGTACCATTTTCTCCAAGCTCTCCATCTATCGTAGTTTAGGTACTACGTTAGTCAGTTAGTTAGGAGTTAGGACACGTCCGAATGTTCGATTATATAATAATATATAGAAATTACTAAAAGATGGTGTGAATTGGCCTGTTTACAATACATACATTAGTTCAGACGTCTTCCCCCTAAATAAGTGTGCCCAACCTTCTTAATGATAAAAAGATAAACTCATCAAACCTTCAACCCACTTAACCTTTGCTCAAACAGTTCTATCTCAGTGTCTTGTATCTTATTTATAGATATACATACAAATTGCCATTTTCATTTTGCTATAATATGTACCTACCTATCAGGTACTATTTGTAAATTTGTAACCAAACAGATTATATAAAAATCTATTTTAGTTTTTTAATTTATTTATTCAATCATCGGACGTGAATCCTAAATATAATATATCATAAAATAAAAAAAGTTAACAATATTTTTATTGCAAATACTTATGATGTAAATATAATAATTATTACACGGTACCTATCTACCATTGTACATATTTCCTACTAGAAGGCAGTATTCCTATGACCTACCTATGAATAATTATATTTAAAATATATTTAGATAGTGTAGTACAGTGTACCTGTGCTTGGCAACAGTACTTATAAATTATAAGTTACCTATAGGTACCTAATAGGTTACCGATTATATAAATAGTACATTAGTACCTAAATACATAGATAAGGCTGTATGGCAACTAGCAGATAAAGCGATCGCTTTTAACTAGCATAGGTATGTAGGTACCTGCATTTTAAAGAAAATATCCGTACTTACTAAAATTCAAGAAAAGTTGAAGTTAGGGTTTGTTTATAAAATTTGACAAGCAATTTATCTACTGCTATTTTGTTTTTGTATTGTGCTCGTGTAGAAAACAGTACATTAAGTTTGGTCTGGATAAACTATAGGTATAAGTACCTACCTAGTACAAATAGGCACAAATAATGGTTGAGATGAAGGATATAGAGGGAGATAAAGATTTTGATGTAGCGATGTAATTGTTCTATTTCTTTTTCTCTTTGTTAAACATAAAAACTTCGGCTACTAGGCCATTAGTTATTGAATTATATATATATTTTTTCTTTACATTTTAGTTAAAGCTTAAATTAGGTTATATAATTTAATTTTTTTTAGGAAGTTGACTATGTTGATGTTATATTGAAGATCGGGCTGTAGAGCTTCACTTAATTGATGTGGTATGTGGTGTTTGGATCTTGCTTCTGAGTACTTGAAACAATCAATAAGTATGTGTATGGCGGTGAACTCCGCACCACATGATTCGCATATGGGAGGGTCTTTTCTAGCCATGAGGTGGTTGTGTGTTGCAAAAGTAAGCCTAATTCGAAGGCGATTCAAAATGTTCTATTTGCACCTATGCTAGTACCTATATGACAAGGCATACATATGTATATATCTTATCAAGGGTCCAAGTACCAACTAATCTATTATAAATTATAATATTATATAAATGTATAGTATTTTGGGTAGGTAATATCATGCAGTGCTGAAATTGGGAAAAATTAAGGAGGGGTACTCTGTTTACTTCTACAAAATTAGCGTCCTCGTCACTTTTGATGCCTCGTTAGTCGTTGTAACTAAAAAAATAGTAAAGGTATTTCTTAAAACTGAGTTGAGGTACTCATGCAGTCTCACCAAGGCACCCCTCCAATTTGAGCACTGGTATCATGATAATTATTTAGTTTGTAATTTAATTAGCTTCTCATTGATCTTTTTGGCCGTGTTCGAAAGACTATGAAATGAAAACCGTATAAAAAGTAAAAACCAAAGTGCCAAAACCAAATGACTAGAAGGGAATAAGACAGAAGCACTAAGCTAAGACAGCTAAGACACAACAATTTAGACCAGCGTTTCCCAAAGTGTGTTCCGCGGAACCTTAAGGTTCCGCGGGACTATGTCAAGGGTTCCGCCAGATGCATATTGAGAAAATTATGTTTATTTAATGTTTGTTATTTAAAATATTTTTGATTGAAAATTTTTTTTTAAACTAAGTTTAATAATGAAAAGTCATTAACAGTATCATTAAAATATTATTTAGACTTGAGAGTTTAGAGAATTGATTTTCCTTTTTTTATTTAGAAAAATTGTAGTTGAGTTGGAATAGACATTAGGGTTCCGCGAAACACACACAATTTCTTTGAATACTTTTACATTTCAACCATGACATTACTCATATTACGAATCATTGATGTATATTAATACATCTAAGTACATACCACGGTTATCTACCAATCTAACCGTGGTACTTACCTAATATTTAATAATAATTATCTGACGTCAATACAACTTGCACTGGTGAGTTGTAATAACTGATGTGTTAAAACCATAGACCAAATACTACTTGACAAGCAATGGGTGTATGGAAAGCCTAACAATATAATATAGAGGGCGCTTTTTGTTTACTCGTTTACTCACTATGTACGGTACAACTGCGGGGTAGTAGGATAGATATTTAGATAAATAGATTATTGTATTTTGTCGTCAAGACAGGCTACATCACTGAATTTTTTCGTCAGACAGCCTACATCACTACGAGATGCTTTTACGTCACTCGCAATGAGGCTGTTAATTGTTATTTGTTAAGGTCCGTACAGACCAAGCAACATTTTGTTGGCAACACGTTGTCAACAGTGTTGTCAACATGTATCTCAGCAACTGGTTAAAAGTTGACGGATACACGTCAATGTTGGGCGGCATGACATCAAAGAGATTTGTTGCGTGTTGCTAGTATCTGAGTTTTCCAATCGAAATGGAAAACATCGCTCAGTATGGACGATGTTGTCAACAATTACTGTCATTGATTTGTACACACGTTCACATATCGTTATTAAGTTAGTTTAGTTGTACTTTTTAATTTTTTGCATAAAAATGTTGTGGTCAAAAGAGCTCGTAATAGAACTCATTGAAATGCTGAAAGCTGCCCCTGCCTTGTGGGACATACAATCCA